GAGCACTTGCAGTCAGAATGGCGCAAGCGGAAGGAGTCCGTGGGTGATTGGGCTGCCTACTTCCGATGCATTGGCACGGCGCAGCCCAGCTTTCCGAGCACAGCCCAGTGGATTGCCAGTTGTGTTAGCCGAGCAGCAGTGAAGGGCCCAAAGTATGGCTCCGGTGGTGGCAAAGGCGAGAAGGGCAAAGGCAAGGGTAAGGGCAAGGGCAAATTTTGAGGGAAGCGCACGGCGCTCCGGCTTCTGCAGGAGCCTGACCGGCAAGTGTACAGTGTACAGTGCCTTTTGGCTCTGCCAACCCATGGTCAGTCCCTGAAGTTTTGTTGTCTCTTTGAGATGTTGACGCGGCTCGTACTGTATCGACAGCACGGGAAACTTGTGCGAGAGATGTCGTGATTCCAGGAAGTTGAAGGTTGAAGGAGGTTGAAGGGTTCAACACGGAACGAGCCCACTCGTGCCCACCAGGTTTCCGCCTGGTGGACCGCTTGGCTGCCCCCTCAGTGCTGTCACACCCTGCGGTCTGAAGCGCTTCCCGAGTGCATGTGACTTGTCGGATGCTGAAGGCCCTCAGGGCCTCTCGGAGACTGCTGTGATTTTCAAAAAGTGGGGCACCCAGTGCCAGCTAACTACATTCACTCTGTGGATTGGCGTTGCGCCACGCAACGCCTCGTTGTGCTGCCGTGACTCGCAGATCATGCTTCTCCGATACTTCTTTGTCGAGGCTGGTATGCATTTTCAAGAAAGGATTTGTTGAGCTTCCTGTTGCCCGACCACATCTGTGTAAATTGCTTTGCCAGGCGCTTGGAAGCTCTGCATGACTGTGGCAAGGGGCTCAGGATGAGTTGCCCGTCCACAGATCGACTGAGCCCTGAGCCAACAGTCACCAGCTCTCCCAGGTCTGCCAGAGAAGCGTGTGCTACGGCCCGGCCCCGGCCCCACCCAGGTGGACCCTGGGAAAGCAGCAATGTGAGCAAACAGTGACATGCATTGGCCATGCCAGTGTGGGGAAGCTGCTGCTGGTGATGATGCTGCTGTTGATGGTGATTGTGACAAACAAAGTAGTTGAGATAGTCATCAGTCTCAGAGCGTCTTCACAGTTCAGCCAGTTGCAACCATGATGAACGTATCTAGCGCTACGAGCAACAGCAAACACTCATCGCACTGATGGTGGTTGCTGTGGTCGCGCTAGTATGAAGACCCGTGGTAGGTCATGAGCACAGCGACGGCAAAGGAGGCTACTTGGACGCGGTTGTTTTCGCTCGCTTTGCGTCTCCGGGCCGGGTTCTGCGCGCTTCTGAACTTCTGGGGCGGTTCTCGTCTGGCGTGGAAGTATTGGCAAGCCGCTGCCATAACCTTTTATGAACGGCTGCAAAGCGCAGGACCCAGAGCTTTCTTTGCTCGCACGGTCGTCGGTTGCGCACTTACCTTCTGGAGTGCCGAAGATCCGAATCAGCCGCTGATGAAGGTCCCTGCGCGAAAGTTAGGAAAAACTTAACCTCAGTAGTCGCCACTTAAAAGCTGTTTACCACACTCATCTCTCTGAATGCTCCGAGGCTCGGAAGTTTTTCTGATGCCTGGGCTTCGTGCTTACGATGATCAGCACTAAGAGCAGTCGACCACGACCCCCACCCCACTCCCCTCCCCCTCAAACAAAAGCAATGCAGGAGCACTAGGCCTAGGCCAGCGTGGCCCCTAATGTCCTGCTTGGAGTTCCGCGGGGAAAAGAGCCCGAAGAGATTTGTGCCGGCGGAACTGACCTGGCTGCAGGACTTTGTGAGAATGGCTGTTGCAACCCCCTTTGTGTTGCAGCGTGGAAGTGTTCACTCATCCAGAAAGCTTTTGCTTAGCTGCGGTTAGCTGTGCAAAGCCTTGCCACGATGTCGCAGCCGAAGATCTCGTTGACGTACTTCAACATCGAGGCGGCAGCTGAGAAAGTTCGCCTTGCGCTGGTAATGACCGGCACGGAGTTTGAGGACAAGCGCGTGAACTTCGAGGAATGGGGGGCCATGAAAGCCAGCACGCCCTATGGCCAATTGCCTGTCATGACAGTCACATATCCGGACGGTGAAGTCAAAAGCTTCGCGCAGAGTGTGGCCATGATGCGCTGGGTGGCCCGCAAGTTTGACACAACAGACACTCTGTACCCGGCTGATGCCGATAAGATGCTGGAGATTGAGGAGGTCATTGGTCTGTCTGATGACATGGCCAGAGCCTGGCAGCCAGCCCTGTACATGGGAATGGGCCGTCACGCGAACTACGGACATCCGCAGGAATGGCCGGAGGTAAAGGACTGCGTCCAGAAGCTCCGCGAGACTTTCATCGCGGAGCACTTGCCAAAGTTTATGGGCTTCTTCTCTCAGAAGCTTGAAGCCACCGGTGCATTCTTCTGCGGAGACAAGCCAACAATTGCGGACTTGCAGATTTTGGCTCAGCTCCGATACTTTACCAAAGGTGTCGCTGATCATGTCCCGGCAGACTGCTTGAATCCATACCCAGCCGTGACCAGCTGGATGGACCGGATGCACGCTGTTCCGCAGATCAAGGCTTGGTACCAGCTTTGAGGCTTCTGGCAGCTGCGTGTGTTGCCTCGCCACAGAAGTAGGGCCTGGTTTAGTACCGATCAGCCTGCACTGCGTCAAGTTGATCAAAAGTGCCAGTGCCGAAGTTCGTGAGGTGCAGCAAGCATAAGAGGATTCACAGCGCCATGCAAGCAGAAAGGCATAGAACAAACTGTCAATCGCGCGAGGGCTCAGAGCCACTGGGTCTGGCAAACGCCGGGGGCCGGGGTCGCACCATGATCCTCACAGCATCCCGGCCGCAAATGCAGCCGCATCTCTGTCTTGTGCCGAACCAACCCAAAGCCTCTGAAATATCAAAAGTTCGCGTGTGTGCCCAGGAGGAGGTGGCGAAGTTATTCAGCGGCTTACAAAAGGCCGGATGCAGTATTGCGTTGCGACATCGCAAGACAGTAGTCTGCATTCATGTATATGAGCGTCCCCTCCTGCACGCCGCATGAACGTCGTCGTCAACCCAGATGTAAACACCCCTTGTAGTGCCCTTACAGTACCCTCAAACCCTTAAAACACCCAGTTTTTGTTCAGTGGATGGTCTTTGTCCGGTCATTTTCGGGGCTATGGAAGAGCGATGGGCTTCATGGCACAAGGCTTTGCGCGATGCAGAAGCCGACCTTAAGGACTGCCTGCAAGAGCCCACAGTGCTCGTGAGGATACCGAAGCCAAGTGAAGAGGAATCCGATCCGGCTTTTTTGGGCTTGCAGGAGCTTGCAAGCTCCCAGCAGACGAAGCTGGAGAAGGCGCTCTCCGAGGCCTCGGCGAAAAAAGCTTGGCCTTCTCAGAGCAGTGAGAGACTCAGAGAGCCAGGCGGAAGAGTCCCGGGACGAGGTGGACAGGCAAAGGACCAAGCTCGAGGAGATTCCAACTAAGCAATCAAAAGCCAGCCTCCTCCGAGCCCTCTGGATCATGAAGGGCTTCGGCGACCGAGCTTTGAGTATCTCTGCCTGTTGGCTTACAGCTCCTGGATGTTCTTGCAGTTCGTAGGCCATCGTATGCCTAGTCAGGGAGACGATGTGGCAAGTGACAAAGCCACATCAATTTCCGTCAGGATGTCCGCGACGAAGCTCGCAAAGCTCGCCAGGCTGCTACTTCGTTCGGAGTGCAGAGTCCTAGGGTGCGGTGGATCGACTTCGAAGTCACGCTTTGTCAGGAAAAGCTTGATGTGGAGGACCTGGGCACAAAAATGCTCACAGGCGGTATTTGGCTGTGCACAGACAGGAGAAGCTGGAACAGCACGTCGAGAAGTTCAACAAGAAACGGGATCAGGCTTTGGGTTCAGATGAAAACCTAGTGGCACGTTTTGGAGTTGGAGCTGTGTCCCCTGGACGCCGTATACCTTGACAAAGCCCTAGATCTCAAGATTCCGGCTCATCACAGACATGGAGGAAGGCAGTGGAAGACAGCCTGTCCTTTGCATAATGCAATATAGCCCCCCCCCCCCCCCGATGCAGAACCGCAAGCTCATGGAACACATCCGCGAACTGGAGTCCGAGATCGACACGCTGCAGGGCCAGCTGGAGGACAGGGACCGGAATGGAAGTGTGCTGAACTGTCTTGCGAGTCTCATCGGAGGAGACAAAACTAGGGCCAAAGAAGAGCAAAAGCCCGGAGAACGAGGCCG